TACATTTTAATTTTATTCAATTATGCCAAGAATATCTTTTTTCCTTAGCGGCATTATATTATCTTTTATAACATATATATTACTTCTACAAATGCACTCGACAACATATTCATAATCGGAATCTTTAACATGTCAATCATTTCAACTTAGAAATCTAGATCATTTTTCAAAACCGTTATGAACGCTAATGGTGTTATCAACTAATTGTATAGAATTGGCAAAAGAAAAATGGAATAATACTCTTCGTTTTATATCAACAATGTCATTCGACAATATTATAAAAAAAGACAATTTTTCAAACAAAACATTAAAAGATTTCATTTTTACACTTAATAAAAGATAAAAAATAGTATTTTTAAAATATTTTTTTTAATTTTAGATTATATTTATAAAATTTGTATCATATAAAAGATAATTTTGTTCTGTTTAACTTAGTATGAGTTGGTAGCTCAGTTAAAATGAACTTTGCACTGGAAATGCAAAAAGGTCTTGCGTTAATTCCACAGTCAACCGACCTTTTAGAAATATTTTTTATATATGTAAACGTTAAACCCAAATCCACATTGTTAAAAGCTACTTTTCTATCAATTTTAAATACATAATATTTAAAATTATTTGTGTAATTATTATAAAACTAAAATTTTAAAAATATTTTTTTAATATCTTGATAAGTTTTAGAATATTAAAAAGTCGACAAAAGCAAGTAAAACTACGATTGTATTATAGTAAAACAATTTCAATTTGGAACCACATTAAACAACCCACAAAACTGATACTATGGATAAACACAAAAAGAAAAAAATAAATAAGAAAATATTTATGAAAATACTAGTACAAATATAGCTATAATAGTAGAAAGGTATAAAACAGGCCAATTTGATACAGTATTTGAACGAATTGCAGCATTTCTTAAAGTTGTAGCTTGTGTAGTTGACTTTGAATCCGTAACTATATTCGTCACTTTCATAACTTCTGTATGTGTATGTGTATGAATATCCATAGAAGTAACAGTGATTGTAACAAGACCCGATGACAAGTCGAACTCTTTAAATTTTTCACAGAGAGTTTTAATATGTTCACATGATTTCTTAATATTATCACAACTGTCCAAAATATCACATTGATTAAGTAAACGATCACATTCAGTTTTTATTTTAATAGAAAGCTCAACCATAAACGTAGTACCCTTTAATATTAACTTATCTGAGACTAATGATATGCTTTTTGTTAAAGATACATTAATTCTTCGCAATTCATCTGACAAAACGGAACATTGTTTCGTTAAACGAGATACAAATTCCTGGCAAAGCTTTTTCTGAGCATTTTCCTCACTATATTCTTTACATAAATCATTTAAGCTCTGATTTTTGGGTTTTTTACAATAATTACTTAATAGAGTGACGCATTCATTTTCATCTTTAAATTTCCCCAAATCATTATACAAAGCTGTCTGAAAAGTTTCGAGTTCAAAAAACTTTTTACATTTTTCATTAAGGTTGGAACAGGATGATTTAAGCCCGCCAATACAACTATTTACAAGCATGTTACAATACGACCTCCAAAGAAAACATTCATCACTGGTTATGGAATATTGTTCCTTCAAAATTCCAGAACTGCGAAAATTCTGTAAAAACTTTAAACAATTTGTCCAGACAAAAGAAACTATAACTTTGCATGTATGCGACCTTGATCTACCTTGATCTACATACATAATATTGCACTGATTGACTAGTTTTCCGCATTTATCATTTAAACTACGTAAACAAGTATTCATACTCCCAATAGAATAACCTCCCTGAGATGACAACACATATTTTAATTCTACTGACTTTTTATATTTATCACAATTATCAGAAAAAATATAACAACGACGGGCTATAAAAGGACAATGTAGAGCCAATGAACTACACTGAGACTCAAGTAAATCGCAATTACTATTATCAGGATATTCTAAATAAGTATTTAGATTTCCAAGTAAGTCTTCACATTTCCCCTTAATAAAATTTACAATATTCCTACATGTTTTTTTCAAGTCGAAACATATCTCAAAAGTTTCTCTTGTATATAATTTTGATATTTTACATTCAGTACGAAGCCTGGTAACACATGAACTCGTAGAATGGCTTGCTATATTTAAATGTCCTTCCAAAATATTTTGTAAAAGAGTTTTATTATAATTATTACGCGTTTTCTTATGACATGCAAGTCTAGCATTGAGACAGAGTAGTTTAAGTTCATCATTATAGTTTTTTTAAAAAAAACACTGTGTCAAGAAAAAGTTACAATTATTCTTAGAAAGTGCGGGCAAACTAGTCCATGGAATAGCCAAATTCGTACCATCATTATTTTGATCTTTTTTTTTAAAATTTTCTTGATAGCTTTCTTTAAGTTGTTTAATAATTTTAGTTAAATTTTCTTCCAGTGCTTTACATTTATTATTATAATCATCTTTCTTTTTACAAAATTCAGTAAGATGGTCACTTAAATGAGAAATAGAAGAGCATTTTTGATTTAAAGCATTTTTACATTTATCTTCAGTAGTTCCACCATCAATACCTTCAGTTAATAAAGCCAAAAAGAAATCAATATTATGATATGAAAAATTATCAATGAACTCGATACCAGATTCTTCCGCTCTGAGAATAAGATTATCAGCACCTAATCTAGTTAAAATAGATAAAGACGGTTCGATAGGATTGAAAGCAGAAGGAAGACTAAAGACAATACCTACATCTCCACAACTTTGCTTAAGGTTTTGACATAAAGAATCTAATTCAGGGTGCTTTGGTTTACAACCTAATAAATAATAATGACATTCTTCAAGAAGTAAACTGCAAGTTTTGTTCAATAGAGAATGATTTCCATTTACTTTAGTGACAGCATCTTTTAAAGAAATACAAATGTTGTCAGCAAAACTTGTAAGCTTTTCACACGTTTCTTTTGTATTCAAACATTTTAATAACAATTCGGGAGTTTTTGAAGCCAAAGAAGGACAATATTCTTGAATTTTCGATTGACATCCAAAGCTATCACCAAAAGAATTATGAACTAGTCTTAAAATAAGTCTATCTGCAAATTCTTCATATGTCCTTCCATAACATACATCTCTTATTGTACTACATTGTGAGGCAACATTAGGACATGAACTTTCTAAAAAGAAGCATTTTGCTAGTAAGTTATCGCAGTTATCTGAAAAGCCAGTTTCCAGTTTTTCTAAAACTTTACACTTCTCTTTAAGATAATCATTATTTCCCAACTTATCACAAATATTATTATTATTACAAAGTTCATTGAAATTATCATCATAATTCTTCAATAAACTACAATATTCTTTCAATACCTTTTCACAGTTATTTTTAGCCGTATTTCCCTTCAAAAGATAAAGAAAAGCATCATCAGCATCAAAGCTAATATCTAATGATCCAGATGCTAATATTTCTTAATAACCAATTCTTAGATCTGATCACCCATTAAAAAATCAGAAAAAAAAAAATAATTACCAATATTTTTTGAAATAACATATGAAAAGCCTATAAATAAAACAGAAAATATAGTTTTTCTCATTTACTAAATATTAAAAATATTATTAGTTTCCTAATAATATTTAAAAATTTAGTTGTGTATAATTTTCAAAATTTCGAGCGTTTTTTTATACACGAATTTGTCTTTTTTTTAAATATTTGTATTATTTATTTCATCTATTAAAATTTTTATATTATTACATTATATTTTTATTTTTTATTGTTATATATTCTATATTTTATATTTTAAATTTAATTTTTTTTATCTTAAATCATATTTGAATATAATAATTTATATTACAAATTTATTGAAAAAATCATAAATATAGCTATTTTCTAATGTTTATTATTTTAGGAAAGTTTAGTTAATTTTTTATATTATTTTCTTTATTAGAAAAAGTAGATTTTGAAAAAAATATTGAAAATAAAAAATTTGATAATATAAAGATAGGAATTAAAAAATAAAATTTATTATGATCAACATAAAGTCATTTTCTATGACTAATATTACAATTTTTTATATTAATAGATTTTTAGAGTATTTTATAAATTTCTAAAAATATTAAAATTGTAAAAAAAGAACATTCAAGAGACGTCAGTACTAAACAAAAAGCTACTGCTTAATTTTAGAAATACAATTTATCATAAGAAGTGTTAATTATAATATTCTAGCAAAAATAAAATCAAATTATTTTGCTAAATAAATAGTTTAAATGATTCTGATTAATGTATTTATATTTAAAAACTCTTGAGCCTTTAAACATTTTTTTAGATCTCATTTATATCATTTTAATTATATTATTTATATAAATCATATTATAAATAATATACATATCTTCAGATCGAATATCAACAATTTTAAAGATATATTTCAATTCATAAAACCTTCCAAATCAGAATTCGCATATTCAAAAGAATTAGAAACATCAAAATATTTGCTGTGATCCAATTCTTGCTCTTCAGAAACTGAATTAAAAAAAAGCATATTTCTTTTTATCTCTTGATATCTTAAACATATCAAAGTGAAAAAAACAATAGTAATAAATATTGAAAAAATTAAAAGAGCTGTCGAAGCTAGAGAAGTCTGGTTGCGTCTAAATAAAATACCAACATATACAGGAATAACATGCTAAAAATTAGAATATCTATGTTATAAATTTAACTTATCAAACCTTAATGGAACATGGTATAGCAACTAATAACCAAGAATAATATGATATTGAATCAATAGTCGCAAAAAGAGGTGTTGAAAAATGAGATGGTATAGCACTTAAAGATATTAAAAACATCATAGTAATCTGTTTTTCTTCTATAATCCTAACAAAAATTCCATAGCTATTTTTATACTTATTTCGAAATTGTATAGCTTGTTTATGACAAAAATGACGAAAAGAAAGAAACACTAATGTTTCACCAATAATAAAACTATTTTATATAAAAAAAAATATATAGATTAAAGGAAATATACGAGATTGAAACAATTATAAATCCAATATATCCATATACAAATCCAATTAAAATTGTAGCAATTTCGCGTCCAACCATTGGAGGAAATGAGCATAAAATCAAAATACTAGCAAATATCAAAAATCCACCATTAATTCTTTGTATTTTATCTGCAGTTGGCGCTAAAAAATGTTAAATATACCAAAAATAATGGTAATAAAATACCAAGCAAATCTACAATCTCGATATTTATTAGTAATATATATATATCTATAGATAAAAAATTACCTTCTGATGATGAATACTCATCAAAATCATAGCTATGGGTCCCATAAGAAAAAAAGCACCTCCAAATACTGCATATTTTCGGTGAAATTTCATCTAAAATTTTTAAAATTAATTTATAAAAATTTACGAAAATAAAAATCCCAAAAATATACAAAAAAATTTATAAGTAATTAATTATATATTATTTATATTGAAACTATTTCAAAATTCTAAATCTATTGAATAATGAATTTTAATTTTTAAACCGTCAATTTTAAAGTTATCAGAATTATGGCAAAAAAACCAAAATCCAGGTTATTATAAATATTGTAATTTATAATACTATTCTAAATTAATAGAACTATTCTTGTAAAACTATTATCTACTGCTGGCACTGGTTGGTTTTATACAGCAAGTCGTCCTCGATTATCACCAAAATTATCTTGTATTAAGTTCGATCCTAGAGGTTTTTTAATTTTTATATCTACTTGCACATTAATATATAATAGTAAATAAAAGAGTACTTTTTGAAGAAGCTAAAATCAAGTAATTGAACTTTCTATGAAAGCATTTTATATGATTTATAGCTTTATATGAAACTAGAAAATTCATCAATATCATACGTATATTTTAAACTAAACAAATATTATAATCATGCTAATACCAATATAATAATATACAATTAAATTAATGTAGCATTGATGATATATAAAATATAATAGTAATAAGATGCTATAATTAAAAACAAAATCTAACATAAATCCATCTAATTTTATAAAAAGTAACATCAATAAATTAATAACAATTTCTAATATAATTATCATGTAAATAATTTAGAATAAATGCAAGAACCATTTAAATATAAAAATTAATATGTCAATACAAATATTTTCCCGCCTTTTTTTTCTTATACGTATTAGTTATATTTCTAGTTGAATAACTTTTTTGATTAGTCGAATTTTCTAATTGTGCAATAGGCCAAAAATTAGAATCATTATTAGGATATTCAATAGATAACTATACAAATTAGAAAAATAAAACAGGGACATTAAAACCTTTTTTAGACTCTTTTGTTTATCTTGATTCTTCTTTTTTGAAAGAACATTTTCCGTATTTTTTGAAGTATTAGTGTCTATAGATAAATATTCAGAAAAAGTAGCATCAATATTTTCTTTAGTATAATTTTCCTGTATTTAAAAAGTTAATTATGTATTTTAATTTTGTTAATACTAACATTATTATAATTTTCTATACTTTTATTTTTTTTTAAAAGAGATGAAGATTGTAAGTTTAATTGTGACTATAAATATTAGAAACATTTTTATAGAAGAAACACATACAGAAGCGATAACCTCTTGCTGAATATTAACATCATTATCTAGCATAGTCAAGGAAGAATCATATATTTCTAATGATAAAGATTTATTAGAATCAGATGGTGTTAATAAATTTTCAGATATTTTAGAAAAACTCGAAATAGAATCTTTATCTAAAGGCTCCATTTTATCAGAAATGACTTCTTGTCGTGAACAATCTTTAAGATTTTTTGTGAGCCTTGGTTTGGTTTTATTGTTTCCAGTATTTGAATGTTGTAATGAATTGGAATATTTTTCTTTAATTATATTTTCGCTCGGTGGAGATATCATTTGAGATGGTAAGTAAACAAAAGTAGTGTTAGTAGTTTTAGGAATATTATTTACTTTTCCTGGACTTTGGTGAATTATTCTATTGCTTGATTGAGAAATTCCACTTTTTTGATAGTTTTTATTAATATTATCCATGGAAGAATTCGTATTAAGTAATTTCTCTACTTCATTTTTTAATAAATTTATTGCCTATAATTATAAAATAAAAATAAAAATATAGTTTTTTTACATTATCTTGCTCAGTAATCTTATCAATTAACTCGGCTTTCTCCAATCCAATCTAAAAATAGTTAAATATATTTTTAATAGATATATTTATTTAACCATATTGATTAATTTTTCTTTATAAACAATTTTATAATTTTCTTTCTAATTTTTCTATTAAAAAAAATAGTATTAATATAATAAATAATTACCATATTATCAGCGTCATTAGTATTTAAAGATTTTAAGATAGAAACTTCTTTTTCTAATTTATTAATTTTGTTATCCTTAGATTTTATTATATTATCAAATTTTGCCTGCTCCGTTTCTTTTAATTTCAAAGAACGCCTTTCATGTTCTGCTATTTCTTTTTCATATTGTTTTTTAAGCTTTAAATAATCAGATTAGATTAGTCAAAAAAAAAAAACCTACATCTTCAATATTTTTAGTCGAATCTAGAAATAAAGAATTTGAGCTTTCTAAATTTCTCAATTTATTCTATAAAATATCAATTAAACATTATACCATAAACATAATAACCTTTAAAAAATCAGATTCATCTTTTGTGCTTTTTAATTCTCGTTTCATATCTTCTAGAATATTTTTAAGCATAACATTTTCGTTAGAAGTCTGTTCATAGTTTTTCTCAGCAATTTCTAGCTTCTCAGAAACCTTCTGAACATTGAGAAGTTTATCTGAATGACTTTCATTTAAATATAATTGTCTAAGAGAGTAATTAAAATTAAATTGAAAATTATTTAAATTATTGAATACTTTTTAAAATTTTTTTCATAATTTCCAAGTTGTAATTTAAGTTCCTCAATTTCTAATCGGAAAGGTTGAATTAATTCAATAAAATCTTTTATTTTCTCAATATAGCCATGCTTTCCCTTATCTTTTATCAATATATTTGTTTCTTTAAATCCTTTTTCAAAATCCTCGATACGTTTATTAAAAGAAAAAATGTTAGAATGAAAACTTTTAATCTCAGAATATACAGAAAGACATCTTGAAAATATAAAACATATATAGTTTAAATTTATATACTTACTCTTTCGAATATTTTTCCAAATTTTCCTGAATTATTTTTTGAAAAGGATCTAAAATATTTGGCCCAACTCGAAGATTCAAACTTATCTCATGTAAGATATTATGTTCTATTGTTCTTGCTTCATTGGTCCTAATAACAAATTGTTATAAAACAATTAAAATAAATATATTCATACCATAACGAAAACATATTTTTCAATATGTTCTCATTCTTTTGAGTTTCTTCATGAAAACTTTGAAGTAATTTTTCTACTATTTCCTGTTCTTTTAAAAATTTATTACGTTGATTATCTTTTTCTTTTCTTTCATTTATCAATTGGTTTTCTAAAATACGAACCTTATCTCGTTCTTCAACCAAAAGACCAGCGTCCTTAGAATATTTTTCTTCAAGATTTTTACGATACATATTTTCTAATATTCAATTGTTAACTCTTATTCCAAAAATTTGAAATAATGTACGTTTTACTAATTCCTCTTTTACTTCAGCAAGTTTCTTGTAAACTTTAGAGTTAAATTTTCCTTGATTAGTGAAGATTTCGCATTGATTTATAATTCCTTGAAGACTTTCACGAGACTTTATAATATCCGTTTGAAATGATTTTATTTCATTCGACCATTTTATAATTTCTTTATGAAGAGAGTCATGATCACGAGCCAATCCATCTAGAAATTTTTGAAATTCAGAAAATTTAAATTTTACATCTTTTGTTTTTTGTTTTATAGATAAGAGCTCAGAATTAGTATGCAATAATTCAGCATTCTATAATAAATAAATAAATAAATAACAATTGATAGATAAAAGATACCTTAATATTAAGCTCTTTTTCTAATTCTTCTCTTTCTCTTCGAATTTTTTCCAGACCCGAAAAAAGTAAACCAACACCTCCATTATTTTGATCTAAATTATTATTTCTTTTTTGATTAAATTTAACAGAATCTTTAGAAGCATTATTAGGAGGAACCGTGTTTGTTTGATTAAAATTCAATTGCAATATTTTTTGCTTTTTAGCAGTATTAGAAGAGGTATCTGTAGAATCAATAAATGGATTTTCGGATCCAGTAAGACTAACAGAATCGCCATTCTCATGGGATTCTTGTGATGATTTTTTGCGTTTTGTAGGAGGAGAAAACTCTGATAATTTATTTCTCCATGGATTTTTATTAGATATTGATAACTGAGAGCTTATTGATGTACTCGCTTGTAATAATGAATTTTGCAAATTATTGTTAAAATTCAAAAATTTTGAAGGATTTTTCTCGCGAATACATACCTCAAAAGCATTTTCTGAATTTTTTTTGCTATTTTTTTCTTTTAATAATACTTTATTATATAAAGAATCTTGTTTAGAAACATCTTCATATTTATATAATGTCTCTGGAAGATTATGCTTTTTTTGTATATTAGATAGATTAAATGGAAGAGTCCTTTGTTTGAATTCATCATTTAAGGGATTTTGCCCGGTTTTGAATAATGTGCCTTGCGTTGTCTTTGCATATATTGGATTTAATAGCATTTTTTTCATAAAAATAGAATTTTTATCAACTATTTCATGACTACTTTTTGAAGACATATCATTTATAAATGACTCGGGATGCTTATATGCTTGTTCAGCTGTTTCCTGTATATCCTTCATGTCTTAATAATAGCAATTCCTCGCTTAAATGCGCATAAATATGGTAATATCAGATCATTATTTTCGAATTATTTTAGATTAACAGCAAATTATCTCAATTTTCCTTTATTTATCACCAAATTTCTGAAAAAATAATATTTTTGACTGAAATAAACTTTATCGATAAAATTGAGAAGTTTATATTTATAACAGGTCCTTCTTAAAAAATTAGAAATAAAAAGAATTAATAAAAAATCATTAAGTCTTATATATTAATGTATATATATATATAGTTTTTATGAAGATTATTGTATAATAAAGTTCAATACTTTAATTGTTGCAATGATTGTATAAAAAAGGAATGAAATTCTGCAATTGTAATTGTTAATAGTCATATGCTAATATAATAATAAATAAAACATGTGAGAATATTTCTAATAAATAAATATAATATTCTAATTTATATTAAATTTATTCTTTTAATCATAAAATATTTTAAAAAATAGACAATTAAAAAAATGTAACGTTCTTTATGATTGAAACAAAAAATTCTTTAGCTTTTTTGTATTTATATATACTCAATTTACGTTTAATTATAAAACTAAACTTTATTAAAAAATAATAAATATTTATAAAACAGATTTCTTTAATTTTTCTTAATTTTATTTAAAAATAATCTTTTTTTTAAATGTATTTTAACAACTTCAATAATTTTACACCCCTTAAAATATTTTAAAATCTTTTAAAAAAAACACATTAAATATATTCTGAAATCTAAAAATTAAAATTTCAACTAAATTTCATACATATAAATAACATATCATAATACATTTACATTATAAATTTATAGGTCAATTATAATTTAGAAATATCTATGAAATATACCCTTTAAAAAAATATAAAAAATCAACACTATTTTATATTGATTTAACATATCTATTTACTCTAATTTTATTAATATCTAATATTTTAAAATATATTTTTCCATTCAATAATAAATAAACTATACATAAATATATACTTATTTGTTATAGTTTAAGAATATTAAATATTTCTTATTCTTATATTATACTTTATACATTA